TATGACCACCACCACTGATAAAGACCCCTGTAGGAGGGAGGCCTGCCCTCCTCCCACTACCCCCTCACATTCTAGACGATGATGGGTGCCAGCGTATGGACTGAAATACCGTGCCTTGAAGGTCGTGCCGGGAAGGTCACGCCTTATTTTACCTTGCCTTGAAGAACCTGCCATTTTTAACCCATGGAGAACAATAGAAAACTTTTACAAGGGGAAATTACCCAATGTTGTAATTTAAGTAGCTAGTAGAAGACATTGACGGAAAACAGTAAAGATAGAAATCCATCATGATCTAAGTGATACTCCAACACATGTAGTCCTTACAGTCAACTTCTCTAGGAAACGGTCCCCAGTTGGGTTTTAATTCCATCAGGTACTGGTTTCGGCCAGCTCCCAGTGGAGGTCCCTCAGCCAGAAGCGGCTAGACCAGGGATGTGGAGGGGATCACCGTAGATCAATCAGGAGGAAACCTCACACGGGAGTCTTAAGATTGGCAGCCGTCCTGCTGACTTAGGTGGCTGTCCCGTGCCCAAGACAGACAATTTTGTATAAGGACAGGAATAAAGACAGGGCATGAAGTTTCTGGGTCTTATTACCATCCTGTCCAGGGTACCAACTTCCAGCCAAAAGGCAGGCTTTCTCCTCCCCATAGAGTAGCCACAGGCTAGAGGATTGCAGCCCGAGCAATTGGCATGGAAGTGTTCCAATAAGACCATACTCCTTGAAGAGCCCCTGGAATGAGAGTAAAGGAAGAGGAGAGAACATACTTACCAAGTTTGCACCGAAGCTCAGAGTCCGATGAGACTCTGGACTCAAAGCCCCACGTTGAGCACCATATGATGTTGGAAAGACATTAGGGTTCGAAGCCGATGTCCAAGAAAGAATTCTTGAGATGTCTTTGGTGTAAAAAGGTGATTTTATTAAAGCACAGGGACAGGATGTGTGGGCAGAAAGAGCAGCACTGCAGTCATAAGGAATGGCCTATTATATACTTTCAGGTTGGGAGGGGGTTAGGGATAGTGTAAGTCTCTAAGGAATTTTGGAAGCAAGGTTTCCAGGACCTTTAGGGGCTAGCTGTTGTTGGGAAAAGGTCATTTATTACCGTCTAATAAAACCTGAATCATGAGACCCTTCAGATGTATATCGATGGGCCGTATGCTTGGGGTATGATTGCCAACACGTATCTTGGGGGGGTTTAGAGATAAAGGAAGTTTCCAAAGGAATTTTTATATGTTAAAGTAGACTCACAGGATCCTGGTGGTGGGTGTTGGGATAATGTTAAGCTAAGATTGCCTTTTGCCCTTAGCAAAGTATTATTATTTTTTAAAGATTTTATTTATTTGTTTGGCAGAGATAGAGACAGAGAAGGAACACAAGCAGGGGGAATGTGAGAGGGAGAAGCAGGCTTCCCACTGGGCGTGGAGCCCCATGCAGGGCTCCATCCCAGGACCCTGGGATCATGACCTGAGCCCATGACCTGAGTGGAAGGCAGACGCTTAACGACCAAGCCACCCAGGCGCCCCAGCCCTTAGCAAAGTATTAATGTGGACGCAGTTGAGTCCCTAGAGGAATGTCACTCTGCCTGTTTCAAGGACTTGTCAGTGGGCTGTAGGTAGTAAGGAAATTTAATAATTTTTTTCTGCCTTTGTTTCCCACATCACGAGCACCTTGAGAAGCTTGTAATAGATACTTTCAAATATCCCCAATAAAGGTTGTCCCATCTCTCACCTTGACCAGCCTTGTATCTGGTTTTTATTCCATACTGTGCACCGCCAAGGGTGTCTTCAACCCCCTCCCCAAAGCCACCCTGAGGTATCTCCCAGCCTGTCCATGGGCTCCTGTCTGTGTCCCACAGTTGCCTTGGGAACAAAACCGAAAATCTGAGGAAAACAACATGAAATTTCTTCTTTTTCAGGTGAACAATTTATCAAGTCAAAATCTTAATGAGGAAAAGCTAAGGAAACAATCCATTGGGTTGGGGGACTGAGGGCAAGTGCTCAGCTCCCTGGGGTTCCAGTCAGAGCATGGGGACCCCAGGAAAGGCTCCCAGCGAGATGTTTGGGAGGGAGAGAAACCTATAAGAATAAAGAGTCTTGGGGACTTGGTAGCCAGTTAATATGCACTTTATAGTTAAAAATTCTTAGGGGGCCTGGCTGGATCCGTTGGAAGATCATGTGACTCTTGATCTCAGGGTTGTGAGTTCAAGCCCCTCATTGAGTGTAGAGATTACTAAAAAATAAGTAAACTTAAAAAAATTCTCTTTAGGGGCGCCTGGGTGGCTCAGCTGGTTAAGTGTCTGCCTTCCGCTCTGGTCATGGTCTCAGGGTCCTGGGATTGAGCCCCACATCGGGCTCCCTGCTCAGCAGGAAGCCTGCTTCTCCCTCTCCCACTCCCCCTGTTTGTGTTCCCTCTCTCACTGTGTTTTTTTCAAATAAATAAATAAAATCCTTAAAAATAAAAAAATAAAAAAATAAACAAAACTGCTTTTGTCACTGCTCAGGGCAAGATCATGATTTAAAATACCTGAAGGAATGTGAATAAAAACAGAAAACTAAAGTTGCCTGAAGCATTTCTGGAGCATATTAATTATCCTTTAAAAAGTAGCCCACCCAGGAAGGCCAGTAGGAAGGAGGATCTCTAAAGGCCTGGAGCTGAGCTTCTACTGGGCAGAGAATGAATGTCCTGCCCCTCTGCTTCCTAAAGTTTTAGTGTTAGCATGAGGCCAGTGGAAGAAACCAGATACACAAGGTCCCTCATTGTAGGACTCCATGTATAGGATATATCCAGAATAGGTAAATCCCTTAAAACAGAGAGTAGATCGGTGTTTTCCAGGGGCTGGAGGGAGGGGAGCAGGGGAGGCGTGTGGTTTTATTCTGGGGTGAAGAAATGTTTGGGAGCCAGACAGGAAAGGAGTTGGTATAGCATTGTGAATGTACCAAATGTCATCGAATTGTTCACTTTAACAGTGCTTAATTTGTGTTGTATGAATTTTGCCTCAATTTAAATATATAAGAAAAGGGGGAGGTTCATAAGCAAAAGTGTGCATTTCTGGAGACAGAGAGCCCTGTATGTGCGTGATCTGAATCAGCCAGGAGCCCTGCATTTTTTTTTTTTTTTTTTAATAAGGTAACATTCACAGGTCCTGGGGATTAGGATGATACATTTGGGGGCTATTCGCTGGCCTAGCATAGCTTGGCTGGCTTCTTTTGTTTGGGAATGCAGGAAGCCATGTAACAGATGCAGCATCTCAGATGAGCTTTCCTCTCCTCTGCTTGACTGACCGATGGTTCTAGACCAGTGAGTGCACTCTGATCCCAGACAGTTGGTGTTTAAAAGGACTATAAGCTAACTCTCCAGTCATCAGCCCGCCTTACTGGAGACCTTTGTGGGGTAAAATCCTGGACCAAGAACGCAGGATTGTATCCACTTAGCTGGGCTCTGCAGATGCTGTCCTGTGTGGACGCTCATCTGATACACTCTGATGGATCCAGAATGGCAGGTGGCTATGGGCTGGTGACCAATTTGCCTGTACATGCCAGGATGAACAGATGAGCAGCTGTGACTCCAGATGCTCCAGTGGGAGTCAGGAGGGACGCCTATAGCCTTCCTCCAACCTCCAGAACAGAGTGAAACATTCTAGGGTCTTTAGAGCTCCGGGGAGGAGGTGGCTAAGTAGGAACACCCACTTTTTCCTCCTAGCCCTGCCACGGTTTCCTTGTCTGTGTTCCATTCCTGATGCTTGCTTCCTGGGGATACTCTGAGTAGCCATGACTCAGAAATACCTACATCAGCCTCAGAGATTGGAGGGGATTGAGAATGAGCCTGTGTTTTATTGAGGCCCTGCTCATCACACCAGGCTTGTCTGGGAGTTAGTCTCCGTGAGGTCGGAGCTCTTCCCATGATTTCTCATGAAACCTACCTGATAGGAAGCAGGAGGGCAGGCCACATCTGGGAGTGGGGAAGCTGGCCAGCCAGGTGTGTGGCCCCAGGGCTACCCTTTCTCATCCACCAGGCCTTCCTTTTTGGAGTGTTTCAGGTCTGCCCTTGTTGAGATGGGAGCCCTGAGGGGAACTCCCCTGCAGACAGAATCCTGGGGCTCTGCAGTTGGTCTCCTCTGCCCTGAGTCCCACCTGCAAGGGTGCTGGGCACACGGGGCTGGCTGGCTTCTCACAAGGGTCCTCACTGACCCCCCCATCCCACTTGGGCCGTGGGCTTCCTGCACGCCCAGCCCACCAGCATCTATGTCCAGAGCACCTGCACGAGGGCCCCCGGGGGCTCACCTTGGTCAGGGAACTCTGGAATTCCTATTTCTTTATCTGGCGGTGGGCACGCTATGGATTCACCCCCCAGAACTGTGTGCTTGAGATAAAGCCGTGAACCACTTAGCAAGTTACAGAGTGGAGTAACTCTGCGACTGATAAACTCGCGCCCTGAGCCAGTGGTGCTGGCTACCGCCCTAAGTGACCCCCTGGGCCTGGTTCCCCAGAAGAGCCGCCCCTCCGCCTCACCAGAGACCAGGTTAGCCTCTGACACCTGCTGCTCAGGGCTCGGCCCGCGTCAGGATGGGGACCCCCCCCAACTCCTCAGAATATGCAGCCGTGGAAGGATCACCTGGGGGCGCTCAGGCACGACCTGCTGGCCTCAGACGCTGCCCGGGTCCCCACGAGAGGGAGTCCCCACAAGAGGGGGGCCCCGGGCCTCGCGCAGACCTCCGCCAGAGACAGGACCGGGTCCTCCGCTCTCGGGGGCGCGCCGCGTCCACACGGCCTCTTGCCCGGGCACTGGTGCGGACGCGTCCACGTGGGTCCCTGGCTCTGGAGGAGCGGCCTCGCCAGGCAGGTACTTGCTAACCCGGGCCCGGCGTGAGGGCAGAGCAACGTCGCCACCGAGCCCCCAACCCCGACCCCTCCCTGGGCGCCCGGTGCGCTCTAGGACCCAGCGCCGGTCGGTCCGCCGCCCGGGTGGGCGGGGCTCCTGCACTGTGACGTCACGCGGAGGCGGGGCTACGGCGCTGGGACGGACAGAGGGACGGAGGACGCAGGACAGACCGGGCGGGGCCGGCGCGGGCGCGGACGTGGGCGCGGCGGTAAGGGCTGGGGCTCGGATCCGCAGGCCGCGTGTGGGCGCGGACGGAACGCGGGCCCCGGGCCTCGGGATGCGGCGCGGGCGGCGGGTCCCAGGACCGAGCCCCTCGGAGCCCCCGGCCGTGCGTCCCACCCCCGGAGCAGCCAACCTCCCTTCGTACTGAGCGCGCTCTCCCCGGACTGAGCATGCTCGCCCCGGACTGAGCGTGCTCCGCCCCATCCCGGCCGAGTACTCCCTCCCGGGCCGAGCCACCCCCCAGAATGAGCGTGCCCCGGGCCCGCCTCCCGCGTCCCCAGCCGTGCGCCCCGCACCTCTGTTCCCCCGCGGGTGCCGGTTCGCGCGCGGAGGGCTCCCTGGGGCGCCAGTGTCTGAGGGGCGGGTCGTGCCCCAGCCGTGAGCCCCCGCGGTGCCCCGGGTGCGCGACCCTCACTGTGCCGCGAGGCCCCTGCTGCGGAGTTCTTACCTCGTCTCCTCTCCCGCCAGGCTCAGGCTCCGATGGTGGAGGGTCGCCCCGGGAGGCAGCGGCAATGTGGGGGTGACCGTCAGCGCGCGTTCGAGGAGCCCGTGAGAGCAGAGGGGACCTGGGCCAGGTGGACGTCTGTCGGCTGGCAGGGCGACACAGGGGTTCGGAATGGAAGCAGAAGGCTTGGATTGGCTTTTGGTCCCCTTGCACCAGCTGGTTTCCTGGGGGGCAGCTGGGGCCATGGTCTTCGGAGGGGTGGTGCCGTATATCCCCCAGTACAGGGACATCCGGAGGACTCAGAATGCAGAGGGCTTCTCTACCTACGTGTGTCTGGTGCTCCTGGTGGCTAATATTTTACGGATCCTCTTCTGGTAAGTTGGGGGCTTTCTATGGGATGCTTCCAGAAAGAGAAAGAGATGGCTTTCTCTTTTTGGGGTTTCGGAATGGGGTGGTGGTGGCGGCAGGAGGTGGTGAACGCATGAGATTATTTCCCAGGGAAAATGGGATTGGAGTGGAGACTCTTACCTGTAATCTTCATTTCATGTCACTCATACAGCATCACATATTTTCCCACAGACGTCTGGGTGCTGGGCAAGGTCCTTGGACTGGGTCCCTGCCCTCAGAATTTGCATGGGAGCAGGAGAGAGAAAACAGGGACTGGAGAAGTAATTAAGAGTAACAGAAAATGATGAGCTGTAGGAAGGGCATGCTGCGGACCACTGAGCCCCTTAGGAGGGGACATCAGGCAGGAAAGAGTGTTCAGGAGCCCTGTGCAGGGAAGGCTGTCCCCTCAGCCTTCTCTGGTGTGTGTACAGTTTTGTTTTGTTTAAATAGGAAAGTCAACTTTCTGGATAATACTTAAGAGACTATTTTGTCTTGCCACTCCCAGCCCAGCTTCCTCTTATTATCATTTGCATTCTGGTAAGGAAGTTGAAATTAATTTTAATAGTTCTAAAGCCAGGCATGTTTGGGAGGAGGCATTTTTAGAGGAAATGAAATGATGTCTTATAACCTCATTCTTTCTTTCTTTTTCTTTTTTTTTTTTTTAGAGAGAGGGAGAGGAGGGGGGTGGAGGGAGAATCTTAAGCAGTCTCCATGCCCAGCGCAGAACCCGATGTAGGGTTTGATCTCACAACCCTGAGATCATGACCTGAGCTAAGTCAGATGCTTAACAGACTGAGCCACCCAGGCGCCCCATTATAGCCTCGTTCTGAGACCAAAGAGGTCTGGAACTTTCCTTTCTTCTTGACGGTCCCAGATCCTCTGTCAGCACAGGTAGTGAGGAAGGTTGCTCAGGAGGGCAGCTGAGTGCAGAGGTGGGACAAGGGCTCCAGGCAGCTGGTGTCCACAGCTCTGCTTCTGGCTCCTCCTTTTGGCGTTTTGGTCACTGACTAACCATGTTTTTTGCTAATTCGTTTTTAAGTCAACCTTATTGAGGTATGGTTTACATTAAATGAAATTGCCCATCGTAAGTGCACAGTTTGATGAGTTTTGACAGTGTCCCCTTGCCATCACCATCACAACCGAGATAGGAGTTTTCTGAGCCCAGAAGTTTGCTCTGCTCTTTGTGTTCCATCCAGCGGTGCCAGGCCCTGGGCAACCTTTGATTTATTTTCGCTGTGTGGTAGGTTTGCCCTTGTCTGGGGCTTTTAAAAGGTGAGCTGGTAAGTCAGCCCCTCCCAGGGGAATTTGTCACATCACCAGGTTTGTCTCGGGGCTAGGCTACTTTGGAAGGAGGGGTCATGGGGGCTTATTTGTTTCTTTGGTGCAAGTTGAAAACCCACATTTTGAAGATCCGTCCTTTTCCTTTGGCTGGGGGCAGAGATCACTCGCTTCAGGGTGACATGTGGCTTCTTTCTCTAAAATGGCTTTAATCAAATCTAAGGTTGAACAGAAGCAGGTCCTGAAATATAATTGTATCTGACACCGTTGTTAGTTCTGAGTGGACTGGAGGGGCGTTCCGGGGTCTCCCAGGCTTGGGCTGTGGAATAAGTTTTCTCTCACAGTGGAGGGGAGGTGCCTGACATTGGCTCGCCTTATGGGAAAAAAGATCAGTTGAGAGGTCTCTTCCTTAAGTATGCTTATCCTTCACAATTGCAAAAAGTGGCTAGAATAGCTAATCTACATCCAAATATCTGCTTTGATGAAGTCAGAAATTAAACTAATTTCTTGAATGCCAAGTCTCAGGGCCTCTGGATTTAACTGGCATTTGCACTAGGAGTCCTCTCTTCACTGCAGGGCCTGAGACTTTGAGAAAGAGTCTGGAGCTTTCTCCTAATGCAGCACAGAGTGGCCTTTTGTGGGATTCTAAACTTCATCCATTGGCGAGTCTATTTCTATACATCCAGTTTGTCTTTTCCCAGAGTCAGCACCCTGAGCTGTCCTGGGTCACTTGAGGGGTTCTGTGGCGATTTCAGCCAGTATTCCAGGAGACTGCAGCAATGTGTGGGATGAAGGGAGGGCTGGCAGAGGGCCCTGGTCCCTCCTCGAGAGTCTCTCTGGCCTAGAGGTGTGCTTTTCCTGCATTTCACACAGGGTAGTTACTTGGGGTTCACATGTGAAGCCCAGCAGACAGGCTGAGCTCCGTCTAGGACTTTAATGTGTGCCTCTCTGCCCACCTAGTCCTGGGGCCCACTCCTCTGAGGGTGATGCAGATCCTCCCTTTTATTTCTTTTTTTTTTTTTTTTTAAAGATTTTATTTATTTATTCATAAGAGACAGAGAGAGAGAGAGAGGAAGAGGGAGAAGCAGGCTCCCCGCTGAGCAGGGAGCCCGATGTGGGACTCGATCCCAGGACCCTGGGATCATGACCTGAGCCGAAGGCAGACACTTAACCATCTGAGCCACCCAGGCGCCCCCTCCCTTTTATTTCTTATCTGGAGCCTCTTAAGCCCCCACTCCTGTGTCCTCTTCCAGACTTCATGGGTTAGCAGCCCATGTGATTTAATAGGTTTTTGAGGGTTTCCCATGTTCCAGACACTGGTCTAGATGCTGTGGGGTTTACACTTTAGCAGAAGCATTGTATGGAATGTGCCATCTACACATATATGGGTTATGGCAGGCTCCAGGTGAGATGGAAGGTGGGTCTACACTAGAACAGTGGTGGAGTTACAACTGAAGAGTGTGTTTCCCAAAGCTGGCTGAGACCACAGTCCTCAGAGCTCCAGTCTGGGAAGCCCTTTGTGGATTTGTGGTATGAGGCTTGTGAGTGGCTCTGCAGTTCTGTAGGAGGGGCCAACTGAGCTGTGTAAACCCTGGGTTTCTAATAACTTGTGGAACTCTAATGCCTTTATTTTTTTAAAAAAATTTTTAAAATTTAGGGGCGCCTGGGTGGGTCAGTCAGTTAAGCGTCTCCCTTCGGCTCAAGTCATGATCCTGGGGTCCTGGAATCAAGCCCCACGTCCGGCTCCCTGCTCAGTGGAGAGCCTGCTTCTCCCTCTCCCTCTGCCTGCCACTCTGTGTACTTGTGCTCTCTCTCAAAGAATAAATAAAATCTTTAAAAAATAAAAAACAAAAAAATAAAAATTTAAAAACTTTAAAACTTTTTAAAAAAGATTGTATTTATTTGTCAGAGAGAGAGCAAGCACAAGCAGGGGCAGCAGCAGGCAGAGGGAGAAGCAGGCTCCCCACTGAGCAGGGAGCCTGATGTGGACTTGATCCTAGGACCCTGGGATCATGACCTGAGCCGAAGGCAGATGCTTAACCAGCTGAGCCACCCAGGCGCCCCTCTAGTGCCTTTATTTCTTAAAATTCTTATCATCCTTTTGCATAACTAGCATTCGGCAGATTCTGTAAAGTGCTGATGGATAGTATTTTGCCTCAGAAGAGTGGCGTCAGGAGAAGCCAGGAGAAGGGCTGAATGATGCCTCGTAACTAATAATTGCAGACTTGTGATTTTGTAGAGAAGGGGAAGGACGAGGCCAGGGTGCACAGATGGTATTAGACCTTCCAGCTGAGAGCCTTGTGCATTCGTAGAGATGGTTCTCAAGCTCCATCAGTATTGGATGAAAACACTGTATCAGAGAGATGGTAATGTTGTATGCGGTGTTTAATAGCTTGTATCAGAGATGCAGTGACATCGTATCAGAAATAAGGGAACACTATCAGATGTGGCAACACCATGTCAGGTGTAGTAACACTGTATCAGATATGGTAACAGATCAGAGCTATGGTGTCATCCGATCGGAGCTCTAGTAAGCATTATTTTTTTTTTATTATTTTATTTTTTATTTCTTTTAAAGATTGATTTATTTATTTGAGAGAGAGAGAATGAGAGAGAGCAAGCACATGAGAGGGGGGAGGGTCAGAGGGAGAAGCAGACTCCCCGCCGAGCAGGGAG